TTTGTCAAGATGAACTTTACCAAACTCATCTTTCTTTAAACAAAAGTTGTTTTGGCCAGCAGCCTCAGCGATTGTAGAATCCTTGTGCGCATATAGACATTTTATTTCACACACACCCATCCCACAGCATTTGCAGTCAATAATCCCACCAGGAGAAGCTCCTAAGTATGACCACCTTGGATCAATATTGAGATGACTGTCACAAATTGTCAGACTCATGGAATTCATTCATATCTATCTAGTAAGCTTTGCGAGCCCTACCCCCGTTTTCACAACCACACCATGTGGCTGCAGTTGAAAACTTATGGGCTTCAGGGTAGCATATGGACTTGACAAGACTCTTAGCAGGCTTAGCTGTGTTTGTTTTGCAAGCAGTTTTTAGATTGGAAGCAGTAACATGACCTGCCTGCCTGCCATTTGGTATCAAACTTTATTTTGTGACTGCTTTCTGGTTGAAGCTTCTATTGCTTGACACTCATCAGGTGTAATCTCAAGCAATATTTGTTGACACTGCTGCAACAACTCTATGTAGTCTAACTGCAAACACTCTTCTCTTAAAAAACAAAGCTGTTGGGCAAGGGCTTGGGTACCAATTATCAATTTCTTTACAAGTATACTGCTGATTTAAAGGTGCGACTAGGGACAAGACTGCTGGTTTTACTGTACAGCCAGAAATACTTCTAAAAATAGTTTTCTGCTCTTCTGGGGTTGGGGCGGGTGTCCTGGTTGGTTGGATCCCACGGTTAGATCTACTAGGCATAGGAGTAACCTGTTTCTCCACCATCAATTCATGCTTCCTTCAGGCAGAGGTAAAACCCATCTCACTTATAGGTAATGGGGGATTTCTTTCACATGACTGGAGAGAATTAAGCCATTTGTTCTTTTCCTGTGTGCAGGTGGTAGAATCTCTAATTCTAACACCAGCCTCTACAGCAAAGAGCTCTGCCCCAAACTGAGACCACCCTTGACATAACCCTGCCATGCAATAGCAATGGGAAGCAATTACAGTTCCACATTTTTCTGCCAGAAACCATGTTCAAAGTGGGATGTCCCGGGCTCAGTGAGCGGTTCACCAAGTGAGGGTACACAAAAAGTCTTAATTCTAATCAAAAATTTAGATCCTTGAAATATGCCATATCACTCGCTAATGTGAGTCCTATGAGTGATATGTCTTCTGAACTTGCAGCTGTCGTGTCAAGATCAACTAGATCGCTCTGACAAAGGGCTAACGCTTGAAACGTCAGCTTTTAACTCTACGATGGCCAATTTACAATTTCAACTTAGTTGAAATAACCAAATTACCTAGCAAAACAAGAGTTGTTAGCCGAGGTCGATAAAAAATGAGTCCTTTATTTTGCTCTGTTTGCTTCTGAG